TGACGCCACAATCATTGTATTTAAAAGATCCGGCATGTCATCTGCCATGTATCATTTCCGGTAGGCTAAAATCGACGAGTGCTCAGCCTCGTCGGTGACGTAGGCGGTTATCGCTGATCTCAGCTGATACCAAATGGCGGACAACTGTCGCGCCGTGTGTCGTCGCCGCTGCGAGTCCCGTCCGAGGCGTCGCGTGTCCTCGGTAACGAGGCAAACTGCTCGGCCGAACGGCCACGCTACAGCGCGGTGCGGCTAGTTAGCGATCCCCAGTTATGTGTGGGTTCTGTGGCCAGAGTGCTATTATCCCAGTGTTCGGATCCTTGCGTGACGGTGGCATTGGCCACGCAGCAAGTGATGGCTGGTCAGGACCAACGCCAGCGCTACTGAGGCCAGTCATGTATGTTAATAGTTTAAAAAAGAGCAGTTTGGCATTGATACCATATTGTGAAGTCCCGCTGGGCGGTCAGCGTCCTAAAGTGGAGACCGTATCGGGCCTCGAATCTTGCGCAAGGGTGCCTGTTATAAGATAAATCGATGGAGCGCCATGGAAACGACAAACGCATGTTGCGGTCGCTGTCGAGTATTGCAGCCGATGCTGCCATATTCAGAGACCGATCGATGGAGCGCCATGGAAGCGACAAGCGCATGTTGCGGTCGCTGTCGAATATTGCAATCGATGCTGCCATATTCAGAGACCGAGGGCTGGAGAAACGTACGGGCCCTGTTACGTACACGGGAAGAAGGGAATCCCCCTCCCTCCAGTATTTTAGTGTTAATGTCTCCGTGCTGAACGTTAAAAGCCGTATCTTTTGTTCGCCTGCGTGGGAATCTTTAGCGCACCGGCTGGGGGAAGCGTAGGGAATATCAGCTTGGTTACTTTTAAAGCCGCAGGCTCTACCTCATCGGTTCCCGAGAGAGTGTTCCGGCGATGACCTCATTTGGCGTTGAGTATATTGACCTCGTTGCAGACTTAAACACAGCGTGGTTCATATAGTACCCACAAACCTCGTGCGTTTGGCTACCCTATCTCACAGCTCCCGAACGGGAAAGATGTGTGCGATTCCTCTATCCCTTTTCCCGGGAGAGTATTTTCCAAAATCTTCCAGTTCGTTTGTTAAGAATCAGTGCAGTGTCATGGAAACAGTGAGTGCAAGTAGTTAACGTCGCTACAACGCTGCAACGCCGACGTATGACAGCGGGCAGTGTCCTAAAGTGGGGTGACACCAGACGTGCTTGTTGAACTCTATCGGTACACGACTGATTTTGCCTGATATCCGTGTGGGGATCTACTGACCTACACTTCCGAGACTCGGGAACGGTTGTGTTGAATTTGACGGGCGTCCCCTCAAGCGCGAGCGTGTGCTCTGAACGAACGTAATACAAAGGCAAGTGGCGCATGAGGGAGGGAAATATTGGGTCATTTCTAAGCTTGTTGCGGTACCTGGTGTCATAAACCAGATCACCTGGATGCTTCTGCATTTCGATATTGCGACTACTTGGATCTCAAAGGTATACTTGTAATCTGTTTTTTTCAAAGGCGAATACAGTATTTTTTAAGTGTTGCCAGATGGAAATGTGTCCATAAACAGCTGTTGCCCCCTTCCGTACTTATGCGTTTATTATCATCTCCCGTTGTATATGTGTGAACGTTTGCAATATTCGAACTCTGATGGGATGTCATTGCGCTGGTGTGGGTCGAAATAACTGGTCACAAACTGCCTGGTTTGAAATCTGAACGATCGCCTCCAGCGCACCTGTACCTAAATCCACCCCCGTCTCTTCGGTTGTCTCTTCCGAATGTGTTTACAGGTGGCATGGAGTATATAGAACAGGCTAAGAACCCATCAGAGCAAACGTGCACTGATTTCAGGGTTGAAATCAACAGTGACTTATCTGGCATTATCATTCTTCATCTGGCCTTATCATTTTTCATCCTGGCATTATCATTCTTCATCTGACATCATCATCCTTGCGTAGCATCCACTTTTCCTAATGACCACTGCAATCGGCGCGCCCGAAAACGCCACTGAACAACAACGAAAGCAGTCGCATCCGCCCATGGTTACCCAAAGTGTGCAGTCAAGCCTTGTAACTCCCTGGCGGGAAGCGGCGCGATATGTCCTGACCGTCTCCTGCAGTCCATCCTGATGTGATGCAGTGGCAATGCAGTGTGTCACAACTTTGTGAGGACGCGTCACATGGTCGATGGGGGAAAGCCACCAAGCTGCAGCACATAAGCTGTAATGCTTGGGCAGTGAGATGCAAAAACTTGAGAGGAGGTTATTGGATGGTTATTTGTGCTACGGGTGTCACTGATCTGAACACTGGTCAGAAGACGTGGCTATTGAAAACATCGCTGCAGATGTTTTGGGCTCACATCCAAGTGTGAAAGAAGTTTCAGAATAGGACATGTGTGTATGTGTTCTTGGTCAGATATGACATTAATGTATTCCCACGTTCCAGACAAGGCAGAACTAGAAAGGGCTCAACAGTTCCTGGAGCAGGCAGCCCAACAAAACTTTGTAAGTGTATGCTTTTTACAACGAAATGTTAATTACTGAACTCAGACAGAAATTGTAAAAAAAATGAGAATGTTGTGTTCTGATCTGCAATGTTCATGTGGAATATTGTTCGCATTTCTGCACGCACACGTTAAGGTGTTGTGAACTTGACAGCGTAAACGATACGGCCTATGGACGCAGGTGAGCTCCACGGCCGCGTTACTCGGCGCCGTTCTCCATCACGTGGCGCGTGTCCACAGCCGGAGTACGTCAAGGCGCTCTCGGACATCCTTTACCATGGCGCGAACAGTCCCGTGGCCAGGATGGCGGCCGGCCTCCAGCTCAAGAATACGCTCACCTCCAAGGACGCCACCGTCAGACAGATGCACCAGCAGCGCTGGCTGGACTTCACGCAGGACGTCAAGGAGCACGTCAAACGCAATGTAAGCGGAGCGTGGCGTCCGAGGCTGGCCGGCTCTCATGCCGTCAGATGTGAGCCTGGTGCGGAGTACGGCTGCCGGGGCTCGCCGGCTCTTACGCCAGTCAGACGTGAGCCTGGTGCGGAGCAGGGCGGCCGAGGCTCGCCGGCTTTCACGCCGTCAGATGTGAACGTGGTACAGGACAGGGCGGCGCGCAGCGCGTGTGCCACACAATGCGACTGCTGGTCTATGTAAAACGCGTCATTGGAATGGACTTCTGCGCAGTTAGCATGCTCTCACTGTTTGGCACATGGCCCTGTGTTATCCCGTGCCGTGCTGTGCCTGTATGCTGCGGGCGGCACGCGTGGCCTGGCGGCGCGGGCTGACCCCCACCTTTCGTCTGCTCGCCAGATCCTGGCGGCGCTCGGCACCGAGAACAACCGGCCCAGCTCGGCGGCGCAATGCGTAGCCTACATCGCCATCGTAGAGCTGCCGCAGGGCCACTGGGCCGACCTGATCAGCGTGCTGGTCAACAACGTCATCGGGCCCGGCTCCACCGAGATCGTGAAGGAGGCCTCGCTGGAGGCCATCGGCTACATATGCCAGGTACGGCCGCGCCGATGGTGTGGGCGCCGCGGCGCGCAGCTGTTCTGTCCGACTGGGCGAGGCGGCCGGGCCTGTGCCGTCACGGACGGGACGGCTTCTGTCACAGGTGGACTGTGTGCGAATGCGGTTGGGAACTATTTCGTGCAGCTGTTTTGACCCTTAGCTGCCCAGTTGGTAATTTTCAACAAACGTACTGTCGGGAGACGTACTTTGTGAGCATTGAAGTATAGACTGTCGTCGGGATGTCGTCATGCGTTGCGAATGTTGGCGTGACTGCTAGACCGGTTGACCCCGGATTGTTCCGCTGTTTTCCAGGACATTGAGGCGGAGGTTTTGGCCTCGCGTAGCAACGAGATCCTCACTGCGATCATCCACGGCATGAAGCGGGACGAACCCAGCTCGCACGTGCGCCTGGCCGCCACCAACGCGCTGCTCAACTCGCTGGAGTTCACCAAGTCCAACTTCGAGAAGGACGTACGTACCGCCGGAGGGAGCGATCCGTTTCGACCGTGACGTTTGCAGGGGGGGGGGGGGGGGGGGGTCGAGAAAGGCGCTTAGAAAAAAGAAACCCAGTGTGCACTACGACGTAGGCATGGTGTTATATGGGCACTGCATTGCCTAGCATCGATCAGTAAAAAAAACAACAACAAAAAACATGTGCATGATGGCTGTTGTTGCCTCACATACTAGTTGGTATCTTAAGTCCTAGCAGGCGTCCATGTGTGCTTTCGAGACAGCCACAGCTCACATCTGACATTCAAGTGCATAGCTATTACAGCTTTTTGCCTTCTGCTGGCCGCGCTGCGTACCGACCCAGCAGCAGCCTTGTTACCGACCATTGAGGTGTCGCTGGTCCGGCGTGGCCGCCATGGGTCTTCGCCCGACCTGCCGGTGACCTGGCGCCTCGCTGCCCCCAGGCCGAGCGGCACTACATCATGGAGGTGACGTGCGAGGCCACGCAGTCGTCGGACACCCAGATCCGCGTGGCTGCCCTCCAGTGTCTAGTCAAAATCATGACCCACTACTACCAGTACATGGAGACCTACATGGGGCCGGCGCTCTTCGCCGTGAGTACCGCCGGCTGGTGCGGACTGTTCGCTGGTGTTCTGGGCAGGGTGGGGATGCTCGTAAATTGGTGTTCTCGACATGGGACGTGTCGGGCCAGGTGCGTGCCTGAACATCGCGGAAGCAGCGGTAGTGGGGTGTTCGTGTTATGGTCAGGGGTGACGGGTGATAGTCATTATTGTCCGTAAACGGGATCTGCGACCGATACGAGTGGAGCCTGGGAATCACGCTGTCACTACGGAGGAGATACCCCGAGACACCGGTGTGCGCGTGGCCGGTCTGTGCTGGCATCTTTCGAAAGTTGAATACGCTGGCAGTCGTCAGGTCCACTGCTAACGGCGCCCCAGCTGTGCGTGGGCGCGGCTGGGCTGTTTTCTTCGCGCCAGTGTCAGTACCGGCGCCGTCCGTGGGCCAGCACTACCGACCCTGCGCGTCCGGCGCCGGGCCAGCACCGCCTTCGTCTTTAACGCCGCTCACGCCGCCGGCCGGCCGCCCTCCGCCGGCAGATCACGCTGGAGGCGATGAAGTCGGACGTCGACGAGGTGGCGCTGCAGGGCATTGAGTTCTGGTCGTCCGTCTGCGACGAGGAGGTGGACCTGGACATCGAGGCGCAGGAGGCAGCTGACCTGGGCCGGCCGCCCGAACAGACCAGCCGCTTCTACGCCAAGGGCGCGCTGCAGTACCTGACGCCCGTGCTGATGGAGCGGCTCACCAAGCAGGTGCGACCGGGCGGCGAGGGAACGGCGCCGGGGGACGGGCCGCTGTCGGTGGGCGCGGGCCGATCTCAGTCAGTTGGGTGCTGGCGATGTGGATCGGCGGGTTTTGTTGAGGATGGAGATGGGCGCTCACAAGGTGGATGCTTGGCGCTTTTCGGGGCCTGTGCTTGCGACCACGAAGTTCTCGCCTTTTCAAGTGGCCAGTTGCATCGATAAGTGTATTTGTTGTGGTTTGTTGTTGGCGCAATTATCTGCGGGGAAGCATGTTTTTGCACGTACCCTTTCACCGGCGGAGGGATGGCCTCCACATGGCTCCTCCCTGTGAGCCAGCGTAGTCGGCCCGTTCGCTGCGTCAGCCTGCAGTGGCAGCTGTGACCGACCCGTTGACCGGAGCGGGGAGGAGCTTCTGACATCGGTGGACGTGCAGAGGTCACCAGTCCGCCCACCTGCACGAGCCGAGGGAGCTGACGGGCTCGAGTAGAGCTGGCGACGTGACCCGGGCCTTCGTCTAAGCTCGAGTAGAGCTGGCGACGTGACCCGGGCCTCCGTCTGAGCCCGAGTAGAGCTGGCGACGTGACTCGAGCCTCCGTCTGAGCCCGAGTAGAGCAGGCGACGTGACCCGAGCCTCCGTCTGAGCCCGAGTAGAGCAGGCGACGTGACCCAAGCCTCCGTGTGACGCCAGGAGGACGGCGACGACGAGGAGGACTGGAACCCCTCCAAGGCGGCCGGCGTCTCGCTCATGCTGCTGGCCTCCTGCGTGGAAGACGACATCGTGCCGCACGTGCTGCCGTTCGTCACGCAACACATCAAGTCGCCCGACTGGAAGTTCCGCGACGGCGCGCTCATGGCCTTCGGTGAGCGGGGACCGGCGCTGCTTACAGTTTGTGTTGTTTGTTTTGGAGGACGAGGCTCTGCCCCATTGTGCTCCCATATTACTTTGATATAATGGTATTCCTGATCCTTTTTATGCAGAGAGTTTGGTTTGGTTCTGATGATGTTGGGGTTCAAAGCCCTCAGAAGCTGATTGTGGTGAATGATGCGTAGTGGTGTGATTCCACACGACGCCGAATGTGGGTTTCATGCTAGCGAAAAAGAACCTGACGCTGCTACCCGAGCCTGTGATGTTCGTGGACATCAGTTGTGGTTAGTAAGACAAAGGTACTGGGCGCAAATTACTAACACAGCAAATTTAGTTGGCGGCCACGTAACAAGATGCATTAGTGAAGGGCGCTGACGTTTGAACATGAACACGATCTGCGTTACCAGTTCAGCCAGCCGTGTGACTTGTACAGGTATTTTTGCTTTTCGCCGATGTAGTTTCCCCATGCTCACGAATCATGCAGATGGTCAATGCGAAGTCACATTGTCTGCTACGTTGATGACAATCAAGTACATAACCTGACGTTTTGCGATCCGGTATTTCATTCGGGCCTCGTCCGTCGTCTGCCGCATGTGTGGCTTGACTACTCATGCCCTTCCCCGTAAACATGCATCATGTGTCGCTGACGTGTTGGCATGGATCTGTCAGGCTCCATTCTGGAGGGTCCGGACGGGGCCAAGCTGAAGCCGCTGGTGGAGCAGGTGATGCCGATCTTGATGGAGCTCATGAAGGACCCAGTGGTGGCTGTGAAGGTACGCTCAGGCTGTTCAGCGACGTGCGCGATGACGTTCAGAGATGGCGCTAGGTGTTCTGTGTATAATCCCGAACCACCCGCTCGGCGAAACTGTCCGTGTTTATCCCCGTTGAACGCACACTGCGGACGTCCTGCCTTTAAAGGCGTCGTTCCGTGCACTGCTCGAACGAACACGCATCAGTGTTTGGTGAGCACGTCGGGACTGAGCGGGCCGCACACTGACACACTGACACCCGCCGTCAGCATGCCCCGCTAGCGCCGCCACCCCGCGCCCGCCCGTGCCTGGCCCGCGTCGACGCCCGCTGGCGCGCGGCGCGCGGCCCGCGTCCTCGCCCGCTGGCGCCCGGCCAGCCCGCACCCGCCCGCACCTGACCGCGCTCTGCCGCCGCCCGGCCAGGACACGGCCGCCTGGACCATCGGACGCGTCTGCGAGCTGATCCCGGACGCGGCGCTGAACGAGGCGCACCTGCCGGCGCTGCTGGAGACGCTGGTGGCTGGCCTTCAGGCCGAGCCGCGCGTCGCCACCAACGTGTGCTGGGCCATCTCGGCGCTGTCGGAGCGCGCCTACGAGTCGGCACAGAGCCTGGGCGACGACGATGGCGCCGACCCAGAGACCTACTGGCTCTCAAAGTACTTCGAGGGGCTGGTGGAGCGTCTGCTGGAGACTACGGGCCGCGCCGACGGCAACCAGGTGCGCGGCGCAGGGTCGGAAGCGGGGTGGAAGGGTCAGGGGGAGGGGGAGTCGGCAGGATCGGCTGGTGCGTGTGCTGTGTCGTGTGGCCGACTGAATGCTCGCTTGTTTGCCTTTTTTCTCCCGCAAATTGGAAGTCGCATTAGGTGTTGAAGCCTGTGTAATATCGTGCTGTCACATGCGTGCCTTTTTGATGCCCGAAGTTGAACCCGCCAACCCATCGGTATCAAGTCAGCTCTGTGTCGGGTTTGTTCACATCCCATCCTCACTGTCGCCAGCTGCTGGTGCGATGGTTCAGGCTCAGGTTGTGTCGGTTCAGGTTCAGAGGCGGGTTTCGTGACCCGGCGCCCCGTCCCCACAGAGCAACCTGCGTAGCTCGGCCTATGAGGCTCTGATGGAGATGATGAAGAACTCACCGAAGGACTGCTACGCCACCGTGCAGAAGACGGTGGTGGTGATCCTGGAGCGACTCCAGCACGTCCTCCACATGGAGAACCACATCCACAACAACAGGTGCGCCGGGTAGCGTCGGCTGTCTCGGACCAGTCAGGCGCCCTCCAGACATGCCGCTCTCCCTTACCGTATCCAGTGCATGTCCGGCACAGCAGTGGGTCATTGTGTTGAAACCATGCGTTGTAATTTGACGAATGGTGGGCTGTGCTTTTGAGAAGGTGTGTGACTAATTTTGACGAAATGCCAACAAGTTTTAGCAAGCTTCACTGTTGAGGAATTGGTGTCCTGCCGGTGAAGCCTCATGCCATTTTTTTGGACAATGTCTTTCAGTGACTTGTATCCAATGGGTGAAGCTTTTGATAACTTCCATTTGCAGTACGAGACACAAGACACCAGGTGTGATTCCGCCCGTGGTTAGCCGACCGTCCTGTCGATTTTGGCCTGTTTTTTTTTCTACTGTTGCCTGCCTGTTATCCCCACATCCACCAGCCTGCGGAGGTGACCTGCCGTCTGCCGGCCTCTCGCGCGCGCGCGTACAGACACGTCCCGGCTGGCGCGCTCAGTGAACGGTGACCTAACGGGACCCTCTGTGGCAGCGACCGGGCGCAGTACAACGACCTGCAGTCGCTGCTGTGCGCCACGCTCAGCAGCGTGCTGAGGAAGGTCACGCCCGAGGACGCGCCGCGCATCTCGGACCAGATCATGACGGCCCTGCTGCAGATGTTCTCCAACCGTGAGTCCGGAGAGGGCTCTCATCTGGGAGCCAGGTCATGACCGCTCTGCTGTAGATCATCCTTTTGATTTGAATTTGCGTCTGATCTGGAGTGGGGGTCTCGTTAGCGATCGGGTGACCAGCTGTGATTGTTGCTACCTCGGTTCAGACCTTCAGGCATCGCCGGATTTACCGAGTTGTATACTGCACTCGCCCGCGCCGACGTCTGAGCACCGCTCACTCGCCTCCGCAGCGGACGTGTGGGCATCTATACCCGGGACTGACAGTGACTCCACACCTGTGCCGGCAGCGCGCGTGGGCAGCGTGCAAGAGGACGCCTTGAACGCCGTCTCGACTCTGGCCGAGGTGCTGGGTGAGCAGTTCATCAAGTACCTGACCGCCTTCAAGCCGTACCTGCTGATGGGCCTGCGCAACCACGCCGAGTACCAGGTGTGCTCGGTGGCGGTCGGCCTGGTGGGCGACATCTGCAGGGCGGTCGGCGCGCGCGTGCTGCCCCACTGCGACGACATCATGAACATCCTGCTGGCCAATCTGGGGGTGAGTGATGGGCAGCGGCCGGCGGCTCCCGCCCGGGCAGACGAGCCGGTCACAGGCTATCGAACCGCCGCGTCGCGTCCAGAACACCGCACTGCACTTGTCTTGCGCGACTGGCTGTAAGCTCTTTCTGACCTGTTAGCGGCTGAGTCTCGTGCTGCCTGGCCTCAGGAGCACAGATTCACTTCGCAAAGGAAACAAATGTCTCCCGGCGTGGAGCATCTGTGATCTAAATGACCGCTGACCGCAGCTTCAGGACTCCTGGCGCATTCCCACTCGGCCGCTAGGGTACCGTGCGCCCGTCTGGGCCGTGGTGTGCGGCTGGCGCGCGTGTAGCCCCGACGCCGCAGCCTGCCGGGGGCGTGCGCTGGTCGGCTGACGCGTGACCGGCGCCGGCGCGGCCGCCCGCAGAACCAGTCGGTGCACCGCTCGGTGAAGCCACACATCCTGACCGTGTTCGGCGACATCGCGCTGGCCATCGGCGGCGAGTTCAAGAAGTACCTGGACGTGTCGCTGCAGACGCTGATGCAGGCGTCGCAGGCCCAGGTGGACAGGGTAAGTGTGCGGCGAGGCAGCGGGCCAGGCGAGCGGTGTGTTTTGTGCGTGAGGATTGTGTGGATGTACGGCCTTGCCACAATACGGCTGGGTTATTGAAGCCGCTGGTGAGATAAATCGCTTGAGATCGTGGCAATTTTCGCGGAATGGAAGCAAGCGAATGTGCCGGCGTCCGTTCTTGCCTGCGTCATGACCTCTGAAGTCTCAGGGCGCTGCGGCACAGGCTGGCGTCGGCGGCGACGCCTGCTGGCACATTTGGGCGCCGTCCTGCGGACAGTGGCACGCCCGGGCTGACGTGCGCGTCCCCCGCCCCACCTCCAGTCCGACTACGAGATGGTCGACTACCTGAATGAGCTGCGCGAGACGTGCCTGGACGCCTACTCGGGCATCATCCAAGGCCTGAAGGGCGACAGTCCGGTGGCCAGCCCGGACGTGCTGCTGCTGCAGCCGCACGTGGCCTACATCATCCAGTTCATCTGCGTGGTGTCCAGCGACCAGGAGCGCTCGGACAGCAGCCTGGGCGCCGCCGCCGGCCTACTCGGGTCAGTGCTCAGGCGGGGGCGGAGGGGGCGCGGGAACAGGGTGGGGTGACGGGTGAGCATGGTATGTGGGTGGATGAGGCTGAGGTGGCATGGCTTGGACGGTGGCTAATCGTCTTTCTGTATCGCTTTGTACTAGGCGCCATCGTTAGTGCGCAGGTTTTTAACTTCTCTGCAGTTTGGTAATTTGTAAAAGACTATGCGAAGTGTGGGCATAGCTGTTTAAAGCAGACCGCCGACTGCCAAGGCTTGCTTGCGCACTTTACTTTCGATTTGCAGCATATTTGTCACAAGCTGCGTTTTGTAGTTGTGTTTGCATGAGTTAGTATCGCAACTTGTCAACCATGCCTTGTCCGATGTCTATGTTCCTCATTAGCCCGCGTTATGTATTCGACGGATGTTGCCTGACTGCTTCTTGTCCTTACCTGACCCAGCCAGCCATGATTTGCCATGGGCTGCTCCACTGTGTCCCGACCATTGATGCCCTATGCTGCCTGCTCTCCCTGCTCGATCCTCTGTGGTGCCCTCTTCCTTGTGCTGCTCTTCCATGCCCTGTTTTACCCTACCCTGTCGTACTCCGCCCTGTTTGACTGCTCTGCACTGCTGTGATCTGCTCGGCTGTAGTCTGCTCTCCCCCGCCCTGTCCTGTCCTGTCCTGCTCTGCCCTGCTTTTCCCCATCACTCTGTGCCCTGTGCTGCTCTGCCCTGAAGTCGGCCTCGGCCTCACTGGACCTGACCTGGTTTGCAGCGACCTGCTGTCGGCATTCGGCAACAGCATCCTGCCGCTGGTGGACAACGATGCCGTGCAGGAGATGCTGGCGCAGGGCCGCCGCTCCAAGACCGCGCGCACCAAGACGCTCGCCACCTGGGCGGCCAAAGAGCTGCGCAAGATGAAGAGTGCCGCCGCCAACAGCTGGTGAGTCAGCGCCCGCGCGAGTTTTGTTCCGCACCGGCGCCGCCCCTGTCCCGTTCTTTGGCTCCGTGTATTGGTCTCAGTGAGTGGCCCTCCCTCTTCTCCTCTCCTCCGTTTGTTGTCGGTGTTCAGTTGTTGGACGACGCTTCAGGCGGTTTATAGGAAGGATTGGTGTTGTTTGCCCACCTGGAGTCTTTTGTCACGGGCCGGTGGGGTCAGGTCGAGCACGGTGTGGAGTAACGAACGGATGCCCTTAACAGTAAACGGCCTGCATGTTGCTGCAGTCTGAGCTGTGTGCCCTCAGGGAGCTGGTCAGCTTTTCGCATTAATTTTAAAATTGTCTCGAGGTGATCTCATCGTGGTGTTGAATCTGATACTGATTGTATTGCAAAGTTACGTGCAATTTGAACACCTACGTCACTGTGCTCTCGTTGCATGCAATCTTTATGATAGCTGCTTAACCAGACATTGACATAATGTGTGATGAACTCGTGGTCTTACCTAGCTGATGTGGTGCTGATGCACGGGAGGGCGTCATATTGGACACGCGAAGTGTGTTCATGCGTGTCCTGTTGTGCTGGCATGTGTCACGAGTCGTTATATAAGTGCTGTTGTGTGGCTCATCTGAACCGTCGCCGCTGGCAGCGCAAAGTAAGCATTCATTGCCGTAGAATGACGGCTGCGGTCGAAGCGCCGCCAAACGCAAATAATTCAAAGCCATGGTTGATTGAATGTGATGCAGCCGGCCGGGCTGGGATGCCTGTGACCATTAGGGCACGAGTCGGAGGACGTGGCTGGCGGGCGGTGTCTGAGGGGCGGTGCGGGATATGTGAGGCAGCCGGCTGCCCAGCGTGGCGCCGCGCTCGCGCCGCTGTCCGGAGGGCACCGGATGAGACCGGACCGGGCCGGGCCGGGCGCGGCGCTCCGCTCGGTGTGCGCGGCGCGCGTGACGTGCTGTTGTGTCGCTCTCCACAGATGGCCGGGCGCCGGCGTCGGGCCCTGGATAACTAGCGCGAGTGGGGCGAGTGGGTACGGCGCGTGTGTGTGGACTGCTGACCCGACAGCCGGTCTCGGCGGCCGGCGACGAGCGACGGGCGGCCCAGCGGCGCCGCCTCTGTGATATGCCAGTGGCGCTAGCGGGCAGCGCGCCGCCGCGACACACCGACCAGCGCCACGGAGCGCGGCGACGCGCCGCGTCAGGGGCGCAGCGCAGCGCTAGACTCGACCCCTTTTGACGGGCCGACCGGGAGGCGCCGTCGCGGTGCCTCCCTGACACGCACCTTGTTGTTTTTGTATTCGTGTGGGGTGCCGTGGAAATTGTTTGTTGCTCGTGCCATTGGCAGCGCGTCCTCATCTGCGCACCGCTGTGTTCCCACGCTAGACGCAGACCGACGCCGGACGGGACCGTGCGAGAGCGCGCGACAGAACGAGAGCGAGAGCGAGAGAGAGCGCGTGCGTGGGTAGTGCGGAGTGCGCTCGCCCCGGCCACAGGCAGAATGTGCGAGTACGAGGGACTGACAGTGCGTATCTGAGTGCGGCGCTGAGCGTGTGGTGGCTCTAATTTCTTTGTTATCTTGGTCGGAATATTATCTTGCTCCACTGTCTCTTGGGTTAATCCTTACTCGTTGCGACTCATCGATAATGTCCTTTCTCTGTGAGGATCTTCACGGCCTTCCGTTCCTGCCGCGCGCTCATCCGATGCCTACCGGTATTAACGAGTTCGTGGTCATCACTGGGCCGAAATCCCGCGTCTAGAATTGTACGGAGGACAATTAATAAAAGTTCCTTTCAGTTGAACCGGAGTTTATATTGGCGATGTCCGTTAACGTGGAACTGGAAGTTTCGTGAGCTCGTGATGGCATATTGACAACCCGCTTGCAGGGAACCTCGGACAACGCTTCAGAGCAATAAAACGTTACCCAACGTTACGGTAAAAACGTTATAGAGCGATAAAATGTTACCGTAGAACGACTGAGGCAGTCGTCACCGCAGCCGAAGCGTTTCATTCTTGGCACGAACGCGATATAGGAGTGGTGCGTGTTGGTGTGGAACAGGTGAGTGGTTTCGCCTGCTTTCGGGTGACAGGCGCGGATTGGAGCGGTGTCACCATTTCGAATGTATCCCACGTGCGTGCAAGGTTCGATGTGGTTGCTGTCGGTGGTGTGTTTTGGAGGGGCTGCATGTAGAAGCGAGTGGTTCTGAAACGAGTGAGGAAATGAGCAGTTAAGCTGCCCTGCAATGTGCCAAGGCACACCTGGTTAAGGAAAAATAATGGGAAAAGGACGTACATCATTCACATAAACTGCCTTGGAACTTACTGAAGCACACCGTTTTTGAAAGGATGTTGCGTACATCGCCGTTACTCGCGCTATCGCCAGGAGGCTAATCGCCGACGTTCGGTACGCCGCCGCTCATGCTTGGTGTGCCGCGCGCTAATTACATGTTTACGCTGGGGTGCTGCCACACGTCCCGTTAAAACGGCGCCAATACTTCGGCGAAGCGCCTTGAGCTTGGCGTCCCGGCTGACGGCAAGAGTTCGCCTCTCAAACCGGCCTGTCGCACCCCACTGGCGGCTGGAGTTCGCCTCTCAAGCAAGCCCGTCGCAGCTACTGACGGCTAGAGCTCGCTTTTCAAACCGGTCCGTCGCGCGCCGCTGACGGCAAGAGTTCGCCTCTCGAACCGGTCTGTCGCACGCCGCTGACGGCTAGAGTTCGCCGCTCAAACTAGCCCGTCGCACATCACTGATGGCAATAGTTACCCTCTCAGACTAGTCTGCCACGCACCGCTGGCGACAAGGGTTTGCCTCTCAAACTAACCCGCTGCACGCCGCTGACGGCAAGAGTTTGCCTCTCAGACTAACCCGCTGCACGCCGCTGACGGCAAGAGTTTGCCTCTCAAACTAACCCGCTGCACGCCGCTGACGGCAAGAGTTTGCCTCTCAGACTAACCCGCTGCACGCCGCTGACGGCAAGAGTTTGCCTCTCAGACTAACCCGCTGCACGCCGCTGACGGCAAGAGTTCGCCTCCCAAAGTAGCCCGCTGCACGCCGCTGACGGCAAGAGTTCGCCTCCCAAACTAGCCCGCTGCACGCCGCTGACGACAAGAGTTCGCCTCCCAAAGTAGCCCGCTGCACGCCGCTGACGGCAAGAGTTCGCCTTCCAAACTAACCCGCTGCACGCCGCTAACGGCTAGAGTTCGCCTCCCAAACTAACCCGCCGCACGCCGCGAATGCCTCGCTTTGAACGTGCTTACGAAGCAGCCAGGTGGCGGTGCGGACGATCTGCCGGCTGGCAGGCGGGAATCGTGAGGGCTTTATTCGTGAGAGCCGCGCTTAAGGACTGCTGTCTCATCTGCCGCACGGTAGCTGCACAGCGGCAATACACGGAAGATTGGCTCAGCTGGATCCGTTGGGCGGCTCAGTACCGACCGTGCCGGGGCTCAGCCGCCGCGGGGGTGCGTCTGGCCACTCTGCCGCGTGCTCTGGCTACTGTGTCTGAGACTGGTGACCTGGCGCCAGTCCCAACCTGTTAACATTAACAGACGATTGTTGCGGGTGGAAATCGGCCTATTGTAAGGCATGTGGGCATGTAATACAGGTGTGTGTTAGTCTCCGGAAGTTAACGGTGTGGCGGTGAAGCGGTGTATAGTGGCAATGGCTCCATGCAACAACAAAAAGGTGACCACGAACCATAAAATAATTATTGGATATTATCGGCGTTATGTGCCGCTGAGTACCTATGTATTCGCTTGTGCTTTCGAACAAATCATGTAGCTTTCCAGTTTCAACTCATCCTTTGGCGACGATGGCAACACGAGTAGTTGCCTAGCAATCAAACGGTAGTCAACGTTTTTAAGAGATGATGCATGTTTACTTCTGCTGAAATTGGTGGGCACCTGCAAGCTGAGTTGAAAACCGAGTCGCCATTTGTAAAAGCGACACTGCCAGTGACTTCTTTGCAACTATAAAAAGACATCTCGGTACGTCGGCAACAACTGGGTTGAAGGATTAGACTTCGAGAGGATGTTATTCTAGTTCCGTAGAAAGGAGCCGATAATTTTTATGCCAACAGTAAGTGGGTTTTAAAATCTACCAAAGCCAGCACGCTTAAATGCTGTTAGTTTGGGCTAGGTGCTCATAAACGTTGCTAGCAATTCCTCTTTCAGGCCACCGCATGCTTCTTCAATGACAGGCAGTGGACCTTCTTAAATGGGTTCCGGAAGTGTAGTGATTAAGCTCCGCGCCTGGGAAACCAGACTTACGGGGTTTTATTCAACGCGGTGCCCACCCTTCCTGCCAGGCTGAGAGGCAAGCGACGCCATTCAGCCTCGGCAGCTGGCAGTGTCGTTAAGCTCTCATGACACGCGCACACACGCGGCATTCTTATAGTCCAGAAGGGCCTCTTACAGTGGGACCCTTGAAGGTTCTTGAAGGAAAACGCTACGGACAGCCACACAACTGAACCTTTCAAAAGCTACGCGTGAAAAATTCTTGCACGAAATGCATGATAATTCGGTATATTTTTAACCGACTGGGTATGACTTCTGTTGATAAAACGAATGCTGTCGTCGGAATCGGAGTCCAAGGAACTGTCGGTAAGCAAGTTTTCAGAAAAGTCTTCATAACCGGTCAATTTTGGCCTCGATTTTGTAAGGCCTTTACAGGTCAAGTTATGGGCGGAAAAGTAAGTAGCATCGAACATCCGGATCGAAATTAGCTCAACACTAAATATAAGCGAGGAGCTGCTTAACATTGTCGTGACTGCCCTCTATTTGAAGTCGATGTAGGTACGACCGCTGAGGGCAAGGTTATAACTGAAACTGTACTACGTCGAACATCTGAGCTCCTGGTGCTCACGAACGCCTAATGACGTCTAGATCATCGACCAAGGACCATCAATATGTTTGTATTGAGGGACAACTGTCATAAGTCGCCACGTCTGGCTTCGACTGTACGGGGTTGCAACCTGCGAAGGTAAAAGTTATGAGTGTGGAAATAACGGAAATCACCACGATTTCAGTGTTAGAAGACTTCGCACAGCGAGAGTTTTCGAGGCAAAATCGTGCAATCCCATTGCTGAACACGAAGGCTTCGTTCTTCTTTAAGAGGTCGCGGTTGAGAAGATTAACACTTGTGCTAGTATCACCAACCGTTTTTGATTGCTAGAAGGCATGCCCCTTGAACCGTGCTTCTGAATGTGCCGCTATCTTGACGGATGTCGCCTGCAAACGTTCTAGGGATGGATAAGCACCCGGGAAAACAAAGTCCTGAGGCAGCATATCTTCCTCATATTGTTGTGCTGTTTATTATCTGTCTGCCAATTTTCATATATTGTTTTTCCTTTTTTTGCACGAATCGCGCCAAAATCAAAATGTTCAAAAACGTGCATTATTTTAAAGCATCTGACCTCAACTTCCCAATAGAGGAGCTTTTCTTCAATGATCCAAGTTTATCGCGTCACGCAACGTCATTACACGGCCGTTCTTGTTCCAGTAGAGGCCTTCAGGGTAAGGTTCCTTCACGCTATACACCTGCCCACCCAGCGGGCTGTGCCCCATACCCACCCGCTACCTATTCCTGATAACTTGTTCCCAGCCTCCCTTTTGACCAGCTAGCAAATGGCCGACAAAAACGGGCCACTAAAGCGCGATGTCCGGAACTGAAGCCCGCAAGACCTGCCAGACGTTTGTCAGAGCGTCCGAATCCCCATCAACTGACCCATGACTACAGGGCGGCCAGGTCATGCCATTTGTGTGTGCTCGTTAACCGCGTGGAAAGTTGCTGAAGCTTTTCTTTCTTGTCATTAATTCAGGTAAACACGCGGGTCATTTGTTGACATTGGCTGCAACCATTGGCGGATCCAGACAGGGGGGGGGGAGGTCACGGGGTCATACCCCCCCTCTAAGCCTCCAAGAAGCCCATAAGTCCCGAAGAGGCTCATAGCCGTCCGAACAGACGCAGGTTTTTGACACAAAACGCAGGAAAGTTGTGATATCTTTGGGCTTACAGGGGACCACTAACAGCCACAAGCGATAGTGAATAGACCACTAGCAGACAAAAATAATTATCCACTGATGAGAGGGCGATGATTGGGAGATTTTAAAGCTGATTACGCTGTCCAGAGGTACTATGCTGATCACTGAGAAGCCTTCCACGTTGCCCTTGATCTCTGAATTTTCCCATAGGGACCTACGGTGCTGTTTGGGACACTGTCCGCTTACATGTCTGGGCACTCTCGATCGCTCAGGGGCCCTCCACGGATTCTTCCCATTCGCCCGAAAGGCCCTATACCTTATTGCCGGGGCCCCATATGCTGAGATACACCCGGTTGCTCAGAGGCCCGTCATAATGGTCTCCGGTTCTTTCCACTTGCTCAGGAGACCTTGTGCTGTTGCTGGGGACCACATGCGGTAAGGCACCTAGGCGGTCAATGCTCAGGGTCCATCTATCCTACATTGATCTAGGACTCTTTCCTTGTGCTCTTATTTGTACAGGACCCTTCACTCCCATCGGGGCCCTTCCTATCAACTTGTCAGGGCACTGTTGATCGCTAAGGGGCATTGATCCATGCACGCCTGTCTCGGGTAATTTCCCTTCGCTCAGAGAGCCCTGTGCTATGGCCGGAGCGTTATGTCCAGCGTACCGGAGCGCTCCCGATCGTTCAGGGGCCCACCACATTGGTCTCGGGCTCTTCTCGCTTGCTCTGAGGACCCAATGCTGTTGACGGGAAGCCTCTTTGTTGGTACACCGTGGCACCCTCGATCGCACAGGTCACGTCCCTATTGACCTCGGGGTTTCC